TTATTGATGGAATAAATTAGATATCATTGCTTGTTTGTTTGTCTTCGGATATTCCCATAAAGCTACTCAAGGTTTGTCTTGTACTAACCGTTCCTAATTTTAAACTGATAAACTAGAGAGAAGGCAGCTTGTCAACAGCACCCACCATTAACTCTTGGGCTACTTTTGTCCAACCAAATAATGGGATTTTACTTCATCGATATAACGTACCCATGGCCTCAAATGCGAAGTAGTAAATTTTTGTAGTAAATGAACACAGATAATGTACATTTAGATCCATAGTCTGGCATGCTAACTACTGAGCCACGCTTGACCCAGATGTAATTAAACATAATGCCATTTAGAAAGGATTGAGTAAGTTATATTAAACGATTTTGCAAATCAGTAAGCCTCGTGACAACCACAGCCTATATAAAGTCTTGGTGGAAAGGAATATATCAGAACTACATTTTAACATTGCTTGGCATATGCCACCGAAAAGTTATCATTTTTGAAAAGGGTATGTACCAATACTTTCTGACGTAAAACGTTCATACACTCAGTTCATAAAAATGTTTTCTAAACGAGGATTGAGAATTTCTAAGATGGTGATATCCCTTGTACTTACTGGCATTGGAAAACAAAAGAATGTGGATCAACATGGAACACGAGGACCACCCAGGAAGGGATCTGAATAAAGTCGTACACCAGCAATAGTAAAAAAAAATGCAGCGTCTTGTAACTGATGAAAATCCATAAACACAAAGATTATTGGCAAAAGACGTCCACGTGCTCCAGGAAAATGTATACAACATAATGAAAACGAGGCCGACAGGGTATGGGTTCACCGAGATAACGTTTCCAGTCATATCTCCCGTTCAACCGTTGCATATCTCAAGCAACTAGAGAATAAAACGGGTTAAGTCGTCTATGGATTTCTGTACAATCAGACCATTGCTTTGTTTCTTTTTTTGTTGTTGTTGTTTTGTTTTACGCAAATCTACACAATGGGCTACCTGCACCCTGTTCACTGAGGGGGAAGCGAGTTCCGGATTTTAGCGTTATAAATCCGTAAACTTACCGCTGAACCATTGGGAAACTGGACTGTTGAAGTGGGCGCTAGAAAACCATCGTTCTCGTACACTAGGTGGATTAAGGAAAGCCGGCAGGAAGGAGTGTTGTGTTTTTGGCATTACAGTTTTATTACAAAGCCTTTTGGAATAGACACTACGCTAAAGAGCCATTGTTAAAATGCACGTGTGTCAGATAGAACAGGATTGGACGTGACGAAATGAACTGTAACAACGCGTTGAGGTTCCAAAACAGTTTTAAAATAACTTAACTTCGTAATTCTAATTTTATGCTACTTTCAAGTAGGTTTAAACTTGATAATTTCAATCTAAACACATGCACATATTGTGCTAGAGGGAATTATTTGCTGTTATAGTCGGTATAAGTGCAGATCCCCCAGTGGCACAGCGGTATGTCTGCGGACTTACAACACTGTGAATCGGGTTTCGATACCTGCGGTAGGCAGAGCATAGATGGCCCATTGTGTAGCTTTGTGCTTAAAATACTAACACAAATAAGTGCGAATATAAAGGGTTTAGTTGTTAAATTTGTAGTAATTGTGTAGTAAATACAAATTTAAGTTAGAGCCTAAGCAATGAGATCATGCCGTAATTTTTTTTTTGGACCTGATATACAAACTTTTTGTTTACATTATTTCTACTTTATTGTGCACGATAAATACTTGTTAACTAGTTAAACCTAATACATTATAATTAGAATATGTTAAAAGGCCTAAAACTTTGTTTGTTGGTTAGTATACAATGATACGCTCCAAAGTATTTTTAGGGTATAAGCCTCACGATCTAGAGTGTGTTAGTTTCTTGACCATTAAACTTCGTTTATAAATATATATTTTTATCGTATGTCACACATCATTTACCAAATAAGGCGACCCCAGCAACTGAAGTGAAAACCCTTAATTATTCAATATATTGTATTAATATTATTTTGGACTTTTAACATGAATAGCCCCCCACCCCCCTATCCCCCACACCCCACCCCCCCAGTAGCACAGAGGTATGTCTGCGCTAGAACTCGGGAATCGGGCAGAGCACAGATAGCTCATTGTGTAGCTTTGTGCTTAATTACAAACAAACCCATGACCAGTAATTGCATTTATTTGTGACGAGACTGCTAACCAATGTATTTGAATATATACTTTGGGATAATGGTCACCATGAACACAAAAAGCTCTGCACCAATTGGAAAATATTAATATGATTACAATATTTTCTCTTGTTTTAACATGTAATGAGCTAAATCAAATGGCTGCTTCTATTGAGCTGTTTCTGGAGCTTTGAATCTTAGTTTCTACAAAAAATTTACTATCATGCCATACTACGTTGAGTGGTCATAGTCAGTTTTGAAAGCTTTTTTTTTTTGCCATTACTACCTACGTGGAACAGGAAAGTTATAAAATAAAATTAGCAAAACAAACATTTGGTGCACGACTTTAGCTCTATCTAGCTACCAATATCGTAAATATCAGACCTCTAACTCATTCAGATACAGTATACAGTACGTATTAAAAAGAACTTTCGAGTGAAAGTATAGAATAGTGCGTAATAATAAGTCAACTACGTTATATGTGCTACATCCAACACGACGAGGCCTTTCGGGCAATACCAAGGCTTTTCAGACTAGCTAGGATACAACATACGCAACAATAATTGAGGCATAAATAACATTATTTCACAAAATCTTATGGTAACAATTCAAGCAAAATTTTCTATATATGATTTCAAACAAAAACAAATAACTACCTCGGATTTCTTGTTATGTACATTAAGAAAGGGGTAGTTACATTATTGAATCTCCAGAAAATAAAAGAAAAACTATACTTCAAAATTGGGTTTCGATATTTTCATTAGTGTGCTCGAAAGTAACTAATTTGAAACGAAAGTTCCTTGAGTGATAATAATATTCAACCTATATGTATATTATATGTTTTAAAAAGATAAAAACATTTCGATCAAAAACTATTATTAATTGAAAACACTATTTAATGGTATATAATTTAACGATATAAAACTATACTAGTGCAACAGCTATACTTTTTGTTTATCTAGAAAAAAATCATCTAGTATCTTGGATTAGAAATTATGTCATTAAAGACCAAGCCAAAGACATATCTAACTCAGTAATTGCAAGACCTGATTATTGTCGTTACGAGTCAAGAAAATTACTTTATTTATTATCAAACAAACAGTAATTTCTGAATTAAATATGTAACTAAGTTTCGTACTGATTTTCAATTTGGCAGCTATCCTTAGCTCTTTTTGCAGTTAATGTAAACACGAACACACTTATAGTTGTATTTTGTGTTTTTAGCTAAGAGGCTTTCGTAATCTCATAACATTATTAAGTTATTTTTTTAAATCTTAGGATCCTCCATTTTAACAGTAAATCTCAAATTACTATAAGATTGTTTTTATTTATTTATGAACTAGCTGACGTACCAATTCAACGCACAGGAAAAACATAGTGCCCCCAGTGGAAACATAAAGAAAGTTAAATCCCAACTCTGTCCCCTATATCACTCCCTTGGGTTCCTAAGGGCACATGTCAGGTTTGAAGACAATCGGTCCAGCAGTTCGCCAGGTACTGCTTTTGACATATAATGGTTAGATCAACGGTTTTCGAACTGTTGGTTGTGAACACAAATTAATCGCAAGTGCCTTTCAAGGGGAAGCTCGAATAAATGCGTAATTTGTAAAAAGAATACATTAATTTTGATTGCCATAATACTGGTTTTGCTGTTTGTTTGTTTGTTTCTAATTAAGCACAAAGCTACACAATGGGCTATCTGTGCTCTGCCAACACGGATATTGAAACCCGGTTTATAGTTTTGCTGATACTACCTTGTGATATATGTTTCATTTATCAATACTTGCAATTCTGCAATAGGGAAGTGGGGTCTTGTAGTAATATTTTTCCATAAGACGGGGAACACAATGCAATAAAATTTGAGAACTGTTGGTTTAGAATTTAGATAATCTAATTCTTCTAGTCTTTCTTTTATGAACTAACTTTTGGTTGGAACGCAAGACTATGGAAGGAATAGGTCTCTATCCGACTTGTTCGATTAATTGATAAAAATATTCTCAGCTTCATTAATAGTTTCCCATGAAAATTAATATTTATATTTGATAATCTCTTACAGTTCCTAGTTGTTTTTACCTAAATAGTGGCTCCGCAGTGGCTCAGTAAGCCTGAGTGCTTATAACGTTAAAATCAGGATTCGATACCCACGGTGGGCAGAGAACAGGTAGCCTATAAGGTACTGTTGTGATGAACAATAAATAAACAAATACAAATAGGGGAACTACCGCTACTAACTCAACTGGGCCGAGTTTCAATAAAAGCATCAAAGGTTATAATACTATGATCGTTATTGCATAGTCCACATTTCTAGCTATATGGCTATTCTCCCTAAAAAAGAAAAATGCTGAGGTGTTTTTTACAAGCTTATTTTTCCAAAAAACAACAACATAATACTAGATTTTTGCTTGCAACTTATACCAGTAAATATTTTAAAACGATTTGATATTTTATAGCTATCTAGAATTTACAGTAAGTGTAAAAACAAAAAGCAGAGGGCAATGTTGCATCTTTTCATTAGGGCTGTCTGTTCTCACCTGCCGGAGTATAGAAGTTTAAAAATATAGAATGGTGTGATAAAAATAGAATGTTTAAAGCATGGTGTAAAACTTTATTTTTTACCTCGGTGATTCTCGATATGTGTATAGAGTTTCGGTGAATTCATATCTTTATGATTTTAAGATGTAATATACTCTTTCTAAGATAGAATTATGTCAACATTAAGTTTTAACTTTTATTTATATTTTAACATCACAAAATTCAAAAGAAAACTTTAGGTTACAGATAAGTTCGATCTTTTCCAAACGAATCGGAATTCAACATCCTTGCCTTTAACTTCAAGTTCAAGTTGTTCACATCAAGTTCAAGTTAAGAGTAAGACTGAATGAAGGGAAGAAAATGCAGTTTGGTAATGTTGTCTTTGTTTATTTTGTTTTTGTTTGAGAAAAAGTTAACTGTTAATTATCCTACAAGTACAAGGCTACATATAATATACGTATAACTACAACTACAAGTGTTACTAGTAGTAGTACTATTTTGTTAATATGCTAGCCAGTTTTGCCGGTCATTGCAAAATTACAGTGACACAGCATGGTTTCCATCAGCGTAGGGTAGGTGTAAGATTGTAGGGAGAAAAAAAGTTGTATTTTAAAGTGCGATGGTTCTGTTTTCAGAAATAGTAAACTTTGAACATGAAAGGACTTCGTTATGCTTCTCCTTAGAGTTAGACCTCAAAACGGTAACATTAGTATCATATATTATTAGTAGTATTACTATTAGCAAGTGCAAGTTATGCTGCAATGAAGTGTAGCCTATGTTCTAACGTTAGTCAATCATAGTAGTAGTACACACTCCATTTGGAATATAGTATTTTTCCTGTTGAATTTTTTGTGACTTACCTATTCAACATCAAGACAATAGCAAAAAGTATAAAACTAAAAGTTATGCTGTTAACCAAGTGAGTAATTTGAATATATATACAAGTTCAAATTCAATTTTACTTTTCTGATTGCAAGTTAATAGCTGTATTTCTAATTTTGACAAGTTTTTAACTTAAAATGTTAATTATCCAGAGATTACTGAAAGCAATAAACTCAAGGGATGAGATAGTGATTATTAAAGTAGTAGCAGTAATAAATACATGTACAACTACAAGAAGGTGTTATTTTTCTGGATTATTGAATGGTTGCTTTATTTAAATTACACTTAACTTCAAATTTTAAAAAGCCTAATTTTATTGTATAATATAATCACAGTGAAGTGCAATTTTGTTACAGATGCAATAAGGAGAGAAAATGATTGCACTTACAATATATTGTGTTAATAAATTTCTTGAAAGGGTTAGTAAACTTTCTACAAAGAGTATTGTATATACATGTTGCTGACACAAAAATAATGTGTGTATTTGACAGTGAAAGTTCCAGATACCCATCTAATGGGATAGGACACTAATTGATAATAACATTGTACAAATGATACATGCCAATAACAAAGTAACAAGTAACATTGTATCTACAAAGTTTTTGAATAGTATGGATAATTGCAGTTATCTATTTCAAAATTGAACATAGTTCATTAACAAATATTGAGCTTTCCCTTTATTTTTCAGAGTTCTTAAGAATGGTAACTTGAAGTACTGTAATTAATTTCATTGTTTTTTATTATAAGGGTTACCAGAAAATATATCAGTGAATTGGATAGCTTTTTTTCTTTATAATTTGATCACCAGTGCTATTTAAAGCCTGAATGCAGACATGAGTCATTAGGAGAATGTTTAGTTTTAGCAATCAAGAATTTCTTAAGTATTCAACCAGTGAAAAAAAGTGTGATTAAATCAGCAATGAAATTTGACAATTAGTTGATAAAAAATTTCCTTAAGGTTTTAACAAAAACACTCTTATGTGGGACTATCTCAAATAGTAGCCTCACAAATCTCATTGCATTGTCTACTCATGTGATTCAGAGCAGGATGCTGATTTTGTAATAACAATTTTTGTATGTAATAAATATTAACATCTAGTAAACCAGTTTTCTATGCTATATCAATCACCAAGCTTTACTCTATTATAATATGTTCTCTTAAGACGGGGAGGGTGAAAGGTGGAACAGTTTTTTTTTTCATTTGAGGCATTATGGGAAATATCATGGGATGCTTCCTTCCTTGTAGTTCATGCATCCTTTCAGGGTTGGTAATCATTACATAAGTAAGCATAAAGTATAATAGAATATGGAGCAATGAAACTTCTCCTAAATGTTCAGTTTCATTCTGTAGGTTTTCTCCTGCCTCTTGGAGAGCATAAAGAATAGCATAATGCTAACACTGGAAAACATTAAAATATACTTGCTTGATTAAAACATGTCTTAACGTTCCTCTTAAACATAAAACTACATGAAACCTACAAGATAAAACAAAAGTTCCAGTGTTGATAGATAAATATATAACTAATAAAATATGTAGTTTATATTGCAATAAATCTTGTAATTAGTTTAAGGGAACTTAAATGCATATCTACTGACTGGAATAACATCAAAATTCTGAAGCTAACATTTTATAAAAATCTGCATCAGACTGAAAAGCATTTTCTAAAATTCTCACAATCAAAGCAGTCTTTACATTTATTTAGATGAGTTCTAGTGCTGCTAATGATATATGATCATTCCTGCAGGTACTTTTTTCAACAATAAGCTATCAAATTGTAATATTGATGTGCTTGTTTTCTTTGTTTACTAAATTTTAACCTATAACATTTGCTAATGATGATATAACATTTGGCCCTTTATGTTTCTCCATAATTTACCCAAACAGTATTATGAAAGAAAAAGATCTTGGTGTTCTGGCTGATCAGTCTTTTAAGCCATCCAAACAGTGTGTCATTACTAATATCATGGCAGATATGATTTTAGGTTGTACCTAGAGAACTATTGAATATAAGTAAAAAAAAGTCTGTAATTTATTGTGTAGTTCACTGTTTAGGCTACATTTGGAGTATTTTGTTTAGTCTTATGAAGGACACCGAGTTGTTGGAAAGGGTTCAGATGAAAGCTATTAAAATGACACCTAGAATGGAAAGGTTGTCATATGAGGACAGGTTAAGATAAGAAGAGGCGATGGAGGTGTTTAAGATTGTTAAGTGGATTAAGATTATTTATGTATTATCTTTTTTTTTCATATTCAATAGTGAGATTGGTAGAACTAAGAGACAAATATAAATTGGTAGGATAAGAGTCATCTTCAGCTGAGATAGTTTTATTTTGTTAAAAGGGTGGTTTGATTTTGGAATGGATTGCATTTAGATGTGGTGGATGCAATAAATTTAAGGGAATTTAAGAAAAGACTTGAATGATAAGGGCTGTCTGAAAATTTGATTTTTATTTAAAGTTTAGTTTAATGGATGGGATGACCCAGGTGGACCAAACAGGTACTTTGTTATTCTTACATTTTATATGATGTTCATGTTGCATTAATTTAATTGTTTATGCTTTTACAAACTAATTGTCCTGAATTGTTTTTGTATTTCTAAAAGTGCACCTTAAAAAAATTAAGCCTTCCAAAGTTTTGGGCATACACTATCTTGCTCATTACAGTTTTGTATACAGTGTTTTTGTCAAGAACTTTGTTGCTGCTTTGTCATGCTTTTTTTTACTTGTTTATTCATGTAAAAAAAGTTTTTGCTCTTTCATTCATTTTTTTTGCTGTGGTTTCTTTTCCCCCTTTCTACCTCCATTTGACTGATTTAATTGTAATATTTTGGCTCTTTAGATATGTAATTTATTTGGTCAAAAATACTGCTAATAGCAAGGGTATTAAACTGAAGAATCATTGCATTCTTATCATTATAAATAAAACAGTATATTAAATTACCTGTGTTCATTTTCATTGGTTTAATTTTTACTTCTGATTCAAGGTAGCTGGCTTTGATTAGAAATTAATGATAATAAGTAGTCCAAAAAAATTTTGAACCTTACAGATTTCCATTCTTTCCTACTTCCTGTTCTGAAACATGAGAACATCAAGACTGGTGATAGATATGTCTAGTCTGAATTAGTGTTTGCCTTTGCCCTGTTTGAATAAGAAAGGATTTTGGGTTATACCAACAGTCCTTCTTTATAAGTATCTGGATGTTAAATATAGACATAGCAGATGTTTTTCTTCATGTTCGATTAATGTGGTCTCAGGGAAGTTCCTTATTAAAGTTTTCTGACAGTTTTGTATAAACCTAATCCATTCGTCTCTTTTTTTGGTTTTGTTTGAGCTCTTACATATTTTAAAGGGGTAACTCAATGTTTTACAAGTCATCACAGTTTTGGAATTACTTTTCACTTGTGCATGTAGAAAAGCAAAAGTAATCATATCAGAGATAGCTAATGTTAAAGCAACTTATAGAATACTTGAGTCTTCTCTCAGGAATCTCCTTTGAAATAATGGGATCATTTTATTCTTGCCTTGAAGAGTCTTACTGCACTGAAGATGCTGATTCATAAGAAGACCCTCCAGTGGTTTCTATGAAATCAATGATGGATATTTAGTGACCACTTGGATAACAGGATTCTTTTTTTTTCCTGAAGTCTTGAATCCTACAGTTCTTCATAGAGATTCTTCTAGCTATTAAATGTGCCATCATATTTGAGCATCACATCACGTTCTTAAAGCTACGTAGAAGTACTGGCTCTCAATTTTCTAGAATTGTAAGCTCTTCAGAAGGCATGTTCTCATTTCAGAGCTGATTTTTTTAGTCTGTTTTGACAACACCACTGCTATTTTCTCATTTTTCTAAGTAGATACTGTATTCCACAAGCATTGCTTTCTGGCTTTTTAAAAATTTTAAATATGGGCTTAAGTATTTTCCACCATAATTCTTTTGGTCTTTCCAAGCCTGTGGATGTATTTCTCACTCAGAATTTTCTTTTTTCAATTATTATCCAAAAAATCTAAAATTATTTGTTTCTAATAATGTTTTATGATGATAGAAAGTTTTTATTCATTTGACCATTTCCTTGCAATAATGGATACGTAAAAATTGAAAAGTTTCTGATGTATTTTGAATTTTTTGCAGGTTTGAAAACAAATCTTCATGTAATGTTACCAGACCATTATGATAAAATGGAACACTTGTTTCAATCCAGGATGTTATTCTATAAGATGTTAATGTGAGCAGTGTTTTTGTGTAGACATCAAGAAAACAATGGAAATTCCATATGTAATTGCTAAATAACTGTTATTGAGGAAGGGGTTTCCTCATTTCCTAGGGTTTTACTTCTAATTGTCATGACTTTATCTAAAATGGGAGATCAACTGCTTGAAGAACCGAGCTCTTCCCTTGTTTATGAAGCAAAAGAAGTTTTTTACAGGTCATTTCAAAAACTTAATGAATTTTTAACAAAGGAAACCCTGTGTGATGTTGAGATTCGAGTAGGTGGAAAATCAATCAAATGCCACAAAGTGATTTTGGCTTGCTGCAGTCCCTACTTCTGTGCCATGTTTACTTCTCCTTTAGCAGAAAGTAAACAAAAAATAATTAACATAAAAGACATTGATGAGAGTGCAATGGAACTGCTTATTCAGTTTGCATACACGGGTAAAGTTGAACTCAGTGTTGAAAATGCTCAGTCTATATTCCATGCAGCATCAGTATTACAACTGGATATGCTGGCCCAAGTATGTGGTGACTTTATGCGAGATCATTTACACCCAACAAATTGTCTTGAAATTCATCAGTTTGCAGAACAACATGGTCATCAAGTTCTTGTGTACTATGCAGACAAATATACAGCCAAACATTTTCTGAAAGTTTCTTTGAGTAGTGAATTTCTTTTGATTGGAGGTAGTCATTTGCAGGACCTTATTTCATCACCTGATTTGCAGGTGGAAGATGAGATACAGGTGTGTGTTTTTGTGTTTTTTCCCTAGATATTTTTACAATTTAAGAAGCTTATCATCAGTTGCTCATTCTCTGTGTCATAATTATGGATCTGTGATTTTTTTTATTTCAAAATCAACATACTTCTTGAGTCAAAAAACTAATAACATAAGTTACTAGTAGGTAATGTGTTCGTCACCAAATAGCCTTGCTCTTGATCCAAATACACTTTTAAAACAAAAATCAATTCTTAACAAATTTGTTTCAGGAGATGATAGTCTGCTATTAGTTAACCTTTATCTGATGTCTTAGAAACTCATATTTCTAATAAAGCCAAAGTTCCTATATATATAGTTCAGATTCAGTTGCTTGGTTAGTTGAATTATGTAGTAAAACTGCAGTGTAATAATAAAAAAGACTTTTGTAAAAATGAAATACAATATTAACTATGTGTACACCATGTAGGTGATGGCAAGGTAGGCAGAAGCTGAGATTCTGCATAATATAATGTAACACATAATATATATTTCTGAAAACCTTTTTTATCACAAGTACTGAATTTCCACATTATGGGCATAATTTTGTGTTTACCAAATAAGAGGTGGGAAAAATGTGTTTTTATTATGGATTTTAGGTATTTTTCTTCTGTTCGAGGAAATGCAGCCTTAGGTGTAACATGGTGTTAATATCTCCAAAGCATTGAGAAGAAATTTCATAATTATTACAACAAATGTGTGTTGAAAAAATATATATAATATGAATAGCAATAAAAACAATATGCATAATTTTGTAAAGTAAGTTAAATATTTTGTATGAATGAATATTTACTGTCATAATTCTTGTATTGAATTGGGCAAAAATATACAATATGGATTCAAATAAAACTTATTGTATGTGTGAATGGTTGACTAAGTTCACACATTAGGAGCTGTACACAAGATTGCAGAAGAATCAAGGCCTAAAAAATGTTTTCTATTCATTCACTTTTGTGTCTTTTGCTTAGAAATAAAAAAAATCATGATAATTACTTCTAAAACTTAATATTTATTCCTGAGAATCATAACAGTGCTGTACATAAATATATGTGATAGGTTTGAAATGCTTTAGAAAGTGGATTCATTATTTTCAAAATATGTTAGCCTGGTATTTTATTTAAATTTAATTATTTTTTTATATTTTTAACCTCACTATTACATTAATACCTATTTCTGTTTGTGTAATTTGTATATTGAGACCCGTTTAATTTACACATCTCTGAAGGTTTATGAATCAGTGATGAAATGGATAAAACATAAGCCAGATCAACGAAAAGATCTTCTTCCTGGTCTTTTGTCAAAAGTCAAACTGCCACTTCTTCCACTGGAATACTTACTAACAATGGTAGAAAATGAGGAACTCATCCGTCGTAGCCTAGAATGTCGGGATTTGCTGGATGAGGCTAGAGATTACCAACTTTGGCAAGCCAATCTTTTTCTTGAGCTGCGGTCTTCACTTGAAGAAAAAATAAGACCAAGAAAAAGTTATGCTGGTTAGTACAAGTTTATTCTTTTTAATGTTTTTTTTTTTTTGGTTGTTCTTGTTTTTTAATGAGTAAGTGGTAAGTGTTCTTAGGAAGTTATAACAAATGTGCTTAAATACTGCACTTGCCATTACCTTTCAAGCTCTAATAAAAGAATATTTCAGTAATAAAACAAAATGCTTTGAGGATTAAATTTTTTATATACAACAAGAATTACCTTTTCTTATGTGCTGATTTTTCTAATAGTTTGGGAAACTACATTTGTATAGCAAAAGCAGATATGTGAATAGCAAAATATAAATAACCATGTTTTTTTTTAAATGTATAAATAAAATGACTATATATCCATAGAAAGATACCAAGTACATGTGTCCTGAGAAGAAAAGTGGAACTATACTTATGTATATTATTCTATTCACTTTGGAAGTGAGATTTAGTGGAAGTAAACTTAATACAAGCACCTAGGTCCCTCTATAAACTAGGATTGATAAAAACATAGGCAAAGCATTCATACTGTCTACCAAAATAACAAAATCAAGGAACAAATGTGTGGACATTAACAATTAATTTTGATAATATAGTTGTTTCAGATGTGTTTGTTTCTTGTATCTAACACAATGTGTATAGATGGAAAGAATTCTGAAGGAGCAGAAGTTTGCAGAGAGTTTGTCATGTAGGCTTTCCAAGGGTCCTATCTCCAGAAATGTGTAATATGTTAACAGAAAGCATTAGTCAGGTTACAACTGTAGCTGACCAAAGTAGGATAAACAAAGGCTTTTGAATGTGATAGTTTGCTTGCTTGTATATAGGGATTAAAAGTTTATACTAAAAAGAATCAAGTCACTGCCAAACAAGTGTAAAAAGGTCTTTAAAAAATGCTCTCTCAGTGAAGACCCATGTTAAGCTTAAAGATCTCTACATATTCTAAGAAGGATTCAGAAAAAAGCTGAACAGAAAGAGACATCTTCAGGGTCCCAGTCATGGTGCAGTTACTGCCTAGCTACAGTAGTAAAAGTTCAGTCCTTGTGTATTTCTACAGAACTGAGATCCCAACAAAGAAGAAAAAAAATGTAAGTAGTGCCAAAAATTTGAGTACCTGCCATATGTAAGAAAGAATATCGCTCAAGAGTAGAAAGCAGAGGATTGATAGTACCCTAAAATCCAATCTAAACCTTGATAATAGGGATTCTGATTTCAAGAGTTTTTACAGTACTTAGCACATACTAAACCTAGGTTTAGTTGAAACCATAACTGTAAGAACTGGTTTGAAGCCAACCCTCTTATCCTGATATTGTACCCCACCTGAATTTAATCATATCCATGTAATGCATCATATAGCTCTCATCTGTACAAAAAAAAACTAGCTGGTCAATTTCTCTCATACATGTATACAGCATTCAGAGCTGATTTTGGACTAGAAGTATTGGAGATGAGACATAACCAGATTAAGTCTCTCTAGTTTCAACTCTGTTAAAGTTAACTCACTTCCTCTCATTTAAAAGTACATACATTCAGAAGCTATAAGAAATCTGTTATTAGAGAACCTTAACAGACAGATTCCTAATTCTTCTTGGCATGTTCCTATAAAGAAGGATGCCAGAAATTTGGCCATAACCATTTGAAAGATAACAAGGGCTTATGAAGTTCAAAGATTGGAAATGAAAATTTAAAAGGAGATCCATTGCAAAAACAATAACTTGAAGGAACAGATCATTATCCTTTGTGGTATTTCAAGGAGTTCTTAAAAACAAAAAACAAGAACCGTACAACACAAAGTTTCCAAAGAGCTCACATAGAGTATGAGCATAAGCTTCCCAAATAAGCAACTGAAGTATGTTTGTGACAGGCTAACCACAAAATAAAAACAAAATGCTAGACTAGAGAAAATCCAAGGGACTAAATGATTTGTCAACCTGTAGCTTTGGCAAGTACTGTCATCATGATCATTCTTTACTGTTCTGTGCTCCTGCATATGGGGTGTAACCATATGAGGTTGAATTAGGAGCACCAGGGATTGCCCAGCAAGGCACCCTTCAACTTCTTGGTCCTGAGGATGGATCAGGAATAACAACTATGCTCTCACCATGTCTGACGGAAGCACTATGTCCAGAAGATTGGCTTTCCTAGGCCTTGTCATCTTCTCAGTCCAAGTCCTCAAATGTCATTATCACCACAGCTTCCTCATCTCCACCATAAATTTTATGTGGACTCAGAAAGTCACCTTTTATGATAGTACAATTTACAAGTGTTACTGTACCAGAGAGTCAACAGAAAAAGAAGCACATTTTAAATAAACTATGCAATAACAGATCCTGGTCATCACACCAAAATATTTCTTTTTAACTAGTCTACAGCATTTAGATACATTGATATCCAGCAGAAAAGCCAAAAGCTCTTACAAAACACAGCATCAGGGCTGTTGATGAAGAATGAAATGAAAATGGACAGTAGTAGAAAGCAAACAAGCACAAGTGTAGTTTTAAGCATAATTTTTTTATTAAGTAAATGTAGTGTTCTGTTACTGAAATTTGCTGGGCTTCTTTTGTATTGTTTGGCTGTTAGGGTTGAGGATTACAAAACAAGAGAAATGAAGAGCAAGAAACAAAACTATAGAAATACTTCACTTAAATACTCTAATGAAACAAAAAATCAGGTAGTCCACAAGTTCTCAGGTAACATTCTCTACACAACTGTAAGCTGTGCCAAGTTTACAGGTTTCTGTATTGCCTGTTTGAATAAGCTGCTTCAAAGAAGTCCATACAGAAACACACACATGCTAGCTTGAAACTTAAGCCAAGGTTGGAGTATGTAGCCTTTACCTGTGTAAAAAGATTAGCACATGCTTATAACTTTGAGTCATCTGGTCAACATGAATGAGATTAATTACATGCCTAAATTGCATGGAAATTTAGAAAAATATTGTTTGTGAATACACCTGAATAAAGATCTGGCTATACTAGTTATAGAAGGAAAAAACTTATTACTATTCCAGTTATTACACTTCCCTTCTATCATCATCATGTGACATGATATGATATTCTTTTTCGTATACATTCTATACTTTTTATGCTGTACTATACATATAGCTGAAATTGGTTCTTCTAACATCAAATATCATTGACATGTTTACCAACACATACAGTAGGTTATCTGATGAATTGACGTGTTCACTAATATACACAGTAAGTTATCTGATGAATTGACGTGTTCATTAACATACACAGTAGATTATCTGATGAACTGATGTGTTCACTAACATACACAGTAAGTTATCTGGTAGAACTGATGTGTTCAATAACATACACAGTAAGTTATCTGATGAATTGATGTGTTCACTAATATACATAGTAGTTTATCTGATGAACTGATGTGTTCACTAATATACACAGTAAGTTATCTGTATGATTGA